TATATATATATATATATATATATATATATATATATACAGTATATATACAGTATATATAATTATTTCTACAAAAGTAACATGTTCAACAGATATAAAAAAGAATCTCTGCATGTTTTTGATTAAAAGAAGTATAAACATCTCTCAGGATTGCGTGAGGACAGTTAAAAACACTACCTTGTTCACAGCTGCTCCCTGTCCATCCTGCTCCACACTTACATTTTCCATCAGCAGGGTCACAGGTGGCATTATTGTGGCAGTTACAGGTTTGACTGCAGCCAGGACCATAGGTGCCAGCTTCACATGCTATGGCAAGACAGATATAGACACAGACAAATATGAAACTCTATACACAAGAAACTACAACACATTCTGAAATACAATGCTACCAGGTTTCCACATCAAAGGCAGACATCAGGATGAGGCTGTGCCAGCATTCGTTACTGCAAAGTGTGCCGATCCATGGACACACAAACCCAGAGCATGTGTATTATTGTTTTATTTTACCTTACACGAAAGACAGAGGGAATGCTTTGAACATGCTTCTTGATTCCGTTTATTGTCATGGGATGTTGACCACAGTAAAATGACTCACTGGTGTTGCAAAGGGGCCCGACCCAACCAGATGGACACTGGCAGTCTCCAATCACAGGGTGACAACGACCACCATTTAAGCACTGGCACTTCTGCTGGCATTCGAAACCATGAAAACCCTCCGGACAGGCTGTTGAAGATACATATATACACTTAAATATGCTAATTGGACTAGTTTTAGTGATATTATACCACATAACCAACTTCACCCCTTCTCCTCCCCTACGTTTTTCACAGTATGTTCCAGTCCAGCCTGGTAAACAAGTACAGGCACCGCTCACATGCTCGCACGCTGCTTTATTCTCACACTGGCATCTGTGACGGCAGCCCTGGCCGAAGAAACCCTCCGGACACTCTAGAAAACACATTGAAAACATCAGAAAAAGCTAGATTTCTGTTCCCTGGAAATAGCAATGGTTGCTCATACTTTGATCACAGCGTGGTCCCGTGTAGCCTGCTTCACAATGGCACTGCCCAGTCATAGGGTCACAGCTGCCCACGCTGCTCCTGCAGTCACACTGGCTGGCACAGTTTGGCCCCCAGAGTCCCACCTCACAAGCTGCCACAGAATATACATCCCCCATTACATCACATAATCCATTCCCACTCTACCACTGAGATCACATTATGAGTGAAGTAAAAGATTTTTAAAAAATGTATTAAAGCAGTCAACTCATTTATTTGAGGTTTTCCTGGCAGATTTTTGGGCAACAAACTGCATGTTGCAACTGCATGAGGGCAAGGATCATTTATGCCCAGAAACCTGATGCAGGTGATTGCAATAGTTTGGGTGGAATGTATGGTGAGATAGGCACTCAGAAATAAATAAGGCAAAGTCATAAGATAACTTTTCACTTCTTTTAGATTAAAAAGATATAAAATATAAATATACATTTTTTTTTTCTTTTACAAAAAATTCAAAACACCAGCTAAAAATACAAGTGTGTGTATTATTTGAAATAAATATCTAATTATATTTTGCAATTTTGCTTCTCAAGTGTATTTATTTACAAAAATGACAAAAATGCTGATTACAATTATTAAATGCTGAAAATAATTGATATAATTAGATCTTGTTTAAAAGACTTGTTTTAATTACAAACTCATAAAATGATGAAGACTTTTAGATTAAAAATAAATAAATATTTATTACTATTATTATTATTATTATTATTATTAAATATAAAACACATGCCAAAAACAATTTGCCACTGGAATAAGAAATATATTTATATAATAATAATTAAATTATTTTTCTTTTTTTTTATATTTCGAATTTTTAAACTCATTTTTTGTTTCTCAAATGTGTATTTATTTACTGGAGACTAATTAACATGAATACAAGATTAAAATTATTTTTGCATTGATGGGAGCAGTGATTCTACTTGAGCTTTGTCTACACTGAAATAAGTATGTGACTGTTTGACTGGATGTGATGTAACATCTATTAAAGTACAGGCTGAATTGTAGGTAATAAGCTCTTAAACAAGTAAGCCAATGCAGAGAACAGTGAAAAGCCATTACTTGGAGCTTAATTTTGGGTGAACTCAAGTTGCTGCATTACAAATATACATAGATATACATAACAGATGCATGCTGACCAGCAACAGGTGAGGTACAAAAGTACAAAAGTGTGTGTAGTAGCAATGCATGACGGTCTGGATTTTGTTATTTTATGGGGCATGGAGAAGCAAGACTGGGCAGTTGCCACAATGTGAGCAGCAAAGGTCAGCTGGTCCTACAGGACAGCTCAGTCTTATGTTGCATGGCTGAGAAGTAACAAATCTTGTAAAAGCTGAGCCATCTTTTCAAAGAGGCATCCATGATATCCATACAGTCTCATTGAAATGATCACTGAATGGCTGCCTCATATCTAGTACGCTTTCTATCGCTTCTAGGTTTGCTTTAGGTCCTAGACAAACAACTAAATCTAAATGAAGTGTGAATTCTAAGTGTGCCCTTACCTTTTCCGCAGTTGGGTCCCTTCCAGCCGTCTTTGCAAGCACAGAGACCTGTCACGTGGTGGCAATGCCCCCTGTTTTCACAGGTGCAGCGCAACTGACAGCTGAGGCCAAAGTGTCCAAATGGGCAGACTGTTAGAAATAAAATTTAATCTGAGGAAAGGTGACATTTGAAAAAAACAAATATGCAACAGATGTTTTCTCTTATGTGTGACACAAAACTCTAAACTCATGACAGATGTCTGGTTTGAACAGAGGTCTGATGATACATTAAGATTATGAAAATTAAATATTAAATCTTACCATTCTCACAGAGATTTCCCATGTATCCTGGTGGACAAATACAGGTGCCGTTTTGCCGATCGCACAATCCACCATTATCACAGGAAGGGCATAGTTCTGCACATCCCAGCCCCCAACGGCCCTCTTCACACTCTGAACATTACAAAAAAAAACTTATAGTAGTTCATTCATAAAGGGATACTCAAAAAATAGTCAATTTTAAAATAGTAAATTGTATTAAAGTCATAATTATGAGATAAAACAATGAAATTCTGGCATATTAAGCCAAAATTACAAGATAAAAATTCATTATGACATGAAAAGTCACTTTTAATGTAAAAACTATCTCATAATTTAAACTTTTTGTCATAATGTTGACTATGGTCCGGTTTCATAGACAGGGCTTAGCCTAAGCCAGGATTAGGCCATAGTTCAATTAGGACATTTAAGTAATTTTTATAAACGTGCCTTAGAAAAAAACATTACTGGTGTGCATCTTGAGACAAATCAAAGGCACTGATATATTTTAAGTTTCTTTCATTTGAAACAGCTCAGACTTACATTTTAGTCTAGGACTAGGCTTAAGCCTTGTCTGTGAAACCGGGGGTATATCTCATAGTTATGACTTTTTGTCATAATTAAAAAAAAAAAATTTTTTACTATATTTTATCTCATATTTAACATATCATAATTTAGTTTTCATCTCATAATTATGTCATAATTAACACTCACAATTAACAGTCAGTGGCACTCTCAGCTGGAAGCCACTGACTGTTCCATTAACAGCTAATAGTCGTCTCTAGCTTTTCAACTAGCTCTATGGCATGGCTTCGCTCCTATCCTTCTGCACTGTGGCTCATTATGACTTTTTGTATTTGAGAGAGAACTCCTCTAATGGATTGGCCCGTGATATATTACCACGATTATGTCTGTGATCTTTGGCTCAGCAAAATGTGGCTAATAATAGACCTCCAAAATCACTGCAATTTCTTCTCTCTAAACTACCCTGTCCACTCCAAAACAGAACAGAATGAAAAGTCATTAATGGCAAAACAATTTTCCTCTCGTTTAAACATGTGCAGAGCCAGGAGAGAATGCAGAGGTCAGCGTGTTTAATTTGGTTCAGATGAAACACAATGTAAATACGATTCCAGATCAATTTGGAATAAGTGAATAGGATGGTTCACTTGCAAACTCTCTCTTAACTATTTTATAGCATTGTACAACTCTCTGTCTTTGGTTTCTTGTTCTTTTTGTTTGTTTGCAGTACTCCTTGATGTCCAGTGCTGTTTTTCGTACCTTTTTCACAGTGTTCTCCTGTCTGCCCAGCAGGACAGTGGCACTTTCCAGTCACTGAGTCGCATGGAGCTCCATTACAGTCACAAGATTGTGAACATCCAACTCCAAACTGTCCCACAAGGCACTCTGTAAAAGACAGTACATACAGTTTTTCATAGAGTGAACAGTGTAATATAAACCTAATACTGTTTGTTTGTTTGTACTTGAAAAGGAGGGGTAATTGGGGGGGTCCATGGAAAATTTGCCAGAAAATAAATGTTTAATGTTAGATGTTTAAGATTTCTTTAATGCAATATTTATTTATTTATTTTATTTTGCTTAATTGAATCTAAATCTTATTATTAAACTTTATCCATAAGTTTATACAGCTACTCTAATAGTGAGTGGAAAAGTAACAAAAATAAATACTATACTATATTATTTTAACATTTAGCTTTTTCTTTAGTACATTGACAAAAAAAAGTAAAGATGAAACATATATATTAAAAGTATATTTGAAAGTTTTTACAAATATTTTAAAATACTTCATTAAGAAACAACATGTCTTTATAATACCACACCATGTTTTTTAACACAGTGTAAGTACAGTAAGTATTTTACATGGTTTTATGAAGGGGGTACCTCACAAGTTATATGGTATTAAAATATATGAAAACACCAGTTTTTGCTTCTGGACCCAGATTTTACATTGGCTAGACAGTCTATTGAGCATCCAGAGAATGGACAGGTCAAGCAACCACAGAGGCTACGAGTGAAATGCAGAGGAAAGCCAAATCAACTCCCTTCACAGCCTGTTGTTCCTAATTGATGGCAGACATAGCACTCTGATTGTTTAATGACTTCCAGGTTGTAAGGTTTGACTGCCAGCTCAGTATTTCTGTTGAAATATTCTGGATATTTCCGTACCCCCTGCCAAGTGGACTGGACTCACTCATGAAAGCTGCTAGGGCTCGGAACATCATGGCAGCAGGACAATTTAATTTTATACTCATAAAAAAATCATATATACATATCAATTCAAGTATCTGACTGTCATCTGGCCTGGATATCATTAATAAATAAAAGTGTGCAGGTTCCACTTATTTCGTACACTTTTGTAGCATGTTATTCATTTCACAGTAAAAGCACAATTAAATTGTATAAGTGTCACGAATCCTGTCCATGGACTTCCGTTCATTCACCACCAG